GCGCGCGGCACCAGATGCCAGCGCAGCTCGGGAGAGGGCGGCCAGCATGGCGATGCTGTCGGCGCGGTCTTCGGGGAAGTGCAGGCATGCATCCTCGTCCGCGTGCCCGCAGAGTCGAAAACTAGCGCTTTGTTGGATTCCGCGAAGGCCGGGCCGTCGCGCGCGAGCGACGCGCCCAGGCCAGGGTCGCCGAGGACAAGTTGAACAGCGTCGGCGCGGCCTTCGCCCTGCAACCCACGCCAGGGCATTGACGCAGGAACGCCAGGAGTTCACCGTGGGAAGGGTCCTGGGCCCCTTCGGCAGGGCTGGCGAGGGTTGCTTTGAACCGCCACTGTCGCCGGAATTGATGGCAGACAGCTCCTTCGCCACCTCGGAGAGGGGCTCGCCGAGCCGACGCATGAGAAAACTACTCGCGTCGGGGGTAGGTCCTGGGAGCTGCTCGGCGGAGTGTCCGCGCTGGTGAAGTTGGGGGCCGCGGTGGTAGGCGTTGGGGCGCCATTCCATCCCGACTGGCTTCTGTTTCAACCCTGGGTCGTTCAGCCGGCCGCGACGCAGCAGCGCGGCTGCCAGACCATGGGGTTGCAATGGCGCGTGGAACTGCTACGGGAAATTCGACAATGCCACGTCCAGGTCTTTCAGCCGGCCGTGGCGCAGCAACGCAACTGGCAAACTCTGGATCCCGAGGAAAACGAGGCGCTGCTTCGCGTCGCGTTGCAAGGCGGTCTGACATCGAATGCACGTTTACTAAGAGCGTCGAAAGTGTTTCGTCATCCCAGCGATCGCCGTCGTCCTCGTCTGGTATCGGTACATCGCCATCGTCGAGGTCAGGATCGCGATCAATAAGGAATCGGAACATCTCTGGATGCCATCGCGCGTGAGGGGAGGACTAAGGAGGGGATCGGAACGCTAGGGGCGAAGGGCTCAAAAGCTGCGGAAGCCTTTTTTTGTTCAGAACTTGAGCCAGAGTGCGGCGGCCCAAACTCTGTCCCGCAAAATGAGAGCACTTCGGCGCCTACCACATAGGTTGCACCACGTGGCTAACATCACGTAACTCACACCACATATCTTCTCTGTTCTTAAAAGGAAGCAAACTCTACCACCTTCCGCCCCTTCGGACTAGTCGATTCCCTGGGACCCGATGCAAAACGCATGCGATTCTGACCCAATGTCCATCCTACCAGCGAATTCGCATTATCCCGGCCAACGAAGAACTGCTGGGCACACGCACGCGGCCGCTGCGCGCGCAGGTCGAAAGCCTTCCAAACACAAGGTTTCCAACACTGTCAACATCCCGCTTCAAGAGAACAATGACAACATGCGACTCTCTCACCCAATAATTCAAACAACTTGCCCGCGCGCTCTTGCCCAATCCTTTACAGAACCATGGTTTTTCAACATTCCTGTAAAACTGGGTTTTTTGGGCAGCTTTTGCGCGCGCGTCGATCTCATTCAACGACGGCCGCGCGCCTGTCAGGGACGCAATCCCTTGTTAAAACGTATCATGCGGGGCACATGCGCGCGGGCGCCGCGCGCGCAAGTCGAAATCCACCCAAACAAATTGTGGTTTCAAAAATTGCAAGACCGCGCCTCATGGAAATCGCACGAATCGCACCTTACATCCTCGGCAAAAAATGAACAATATACTCGCGCGCTTTCCGAATCCTTCAAAAACCTATGGGTTTTCAGCATGCCTGTCACCCGGGCAACTAATGCGCGCGCGTCGAACGCCTTCAATATCGGTGATGCGCCTGTCATGGCTTATATATAAGAACTAAAACGTTTTATATATACATATCTATATACAGACATATATATATATATAACAAACATGCGGGGCACATGCGCGCGGCCGCCACGATTGAAAGTCGACATCCTTCCACGCAAACAAATGTGTTGAACCACTTCAAGACCGAGCTTCATGAAATTACACGACTCGCACCATAATCCCTTTAAAAAAAGCTGCACAAATAATCAACATGTCTACCCGCGCGCGCTTTCCGAACCCTAGCAAACCGATGTTTTTTGTTTTCGGTATCTCGGTCATGCGAAGAACTTGTGCGCGCGTGTCGAACTCCTTGAACATTGGTCGCGCGCCTGCCAGGGCCACAATCCTTTGTAAAAAACGCCATGCGGGACACATTGGACGCCCGAATCATCCGGGATAACTCGGGTCCGGGTTGGATCGGGTTTGGGCCCCCGCGCTGGGGCCCGAATGGCCGATGGCACCCTTGGCATTCGACGTCCTCTTCCTGCAGACTGTCCTTAGCGCGCGCGTGGCGGCGTTCATGCTCATGATTTGCGATCGCATTGAGCATGCAATCTGCGTTACGTGTGCTCATGAAGCGCTGCTGTGAATGCGGGGGCGTGTTGCGTCATGACAACGCTAGACCGGTTACCGCGGCCGCCGCGTCTTCAGCGCGGCTGGCGCCATCGCGTGGCACCCACGTGACGTCCCAAGGCTGTCCTGGACGGGCTCGGTCATGCATGATCAAGGGGTCGGCGGAAATGGCGTAAGCCAAACGAAACGACGTTCGCCGCATGACGTCCCGATGCTGTTGGCGAAATTGTAGGGTGCTGCAATTGCGGGAACGCGTTCTGGCAGCGCGTCTCCTCATGGGATTTCGAGCTAAAGTGCGCTGCCACGGGCCGCGTGGAACGCAGGCATGTTTTCCGCGGACTGCTGCGTCGCACAAACGGTTCGGTTCGACTCTTCACTGCACCGCAAACACAAGCGGAGGACATCGAGGAAAAACACGACCACCATGCTGGAACTAACACGAAGGGACACAATGGCATAGGCACAGGTTTGGCGACGCACAGAAACACCACCAGCCGATCGCATAATAATATTGCATGCATGGCCACATGGCTCACTCCACGTATGGCTAGAGCGCGATCCATTGAAGATGCAAGTTATTTCCGCAGTGCTCTGATTACCCTGCACTATGCTTCGGGTGAAGTTAGTTCAGGCCTGGCCCATGCGCCAACCGCGCGCTGCCCACGAATGGCTCCTGTCGCAAGGACTCTCGCTGGGCAGCCAACTCAAGACATGGCAGGGCGAACATGGAGCCACGGGGCAACACAATGCAAAACAAATGTTTGGAATATCGGTGTCACCCCCTTTTTTTGTCAAGGTGCAAGCCTAAAAGGGCTACTGATCACGGCGACACCTGCAGTGCGAGCGCCGACGAGCCTCAACATCTCGACCACCGCCTCAAAACAGCAGACAAACGCGCACCCGAAAACATCCTCCCATCCATTGCCTTCTTCTTCCTCCTCCAAACTGCCTTCATCGACCATCGACCCCCTCCCGTGTTCCTAGATGATTCCATCGCCCCGTCCATCTTGATGAGCCCCCGCCCATGCTCCGAACTTCTCTCCTGCTCGCTGTCGCAGCTGCCCGAACACAAAAAGGCTCTCCCGCCTCTCCCAGCGCCCCCACATTGCTCATTCTCTCCATCGTCCGCTGCCGCCCCCCATTCGCGTCCTTCCTCGTCCCCTTCATTACTGTTGGCCCGCGTTTGTTCAGTCATCGCCCTCCCCTGTTCTCCTGCGCTGCTTCCTCAACGCGCCTTTTTGTTTCGGAAGGCGGCTTTAACCCCTCGCACCGCCCGCCAATCGCCACCGCCCTCCGTTTTCCGCTTCCGCCCCCTGAATCGTCAACTTCATTTCGCCCCCTCGCGTTGCATCGAGCGTCTTGCTCGCGCATTGTATCCCCTGGCTCCTTCCTCGCCCTCCGACCCCCCCTCTGCCTCCGATGCGTTCCTCGTCTACCCGTTCTCACTGGCATCGCAAGGAACATCAAAACGATAATATAATCGCATGGGCGACCCGCCGACCGAACAGGCCACAACCGCGCGGGACCCTTCGAACAAAAAACATGTCTATGAAGACGCCACACGGTTCTTCACAAATGTTCCTAGGGGGCACGGTTGCGTTCACACACGCAGGGTTCACGCGCGACTTGAGGCAGAACGCGCCCAAAGAACGCGCCGATATCTAACGTGACAATCTGGGGCCGCGCGTATAACCTGTCTGCGCATAGCCCCTCCATGGCCTGATATGATTTCAAACTCGCGACAACGAGACCTTGGCATGGGCCGCCACGTCATCAAAAAACCGACCCATCTGCGTTCAAACAATTCTCAAAATTAAGGTTTCGCAAACCGTCGCAAATGAGTGAATCTGTCATGCGCGAAACGGCCATGCATGTGTCTTTCGTCAAGGCGTTTTCGCAGCCTCGGGGCGCGTTAGTTTTTTTGGCCCACGTGGCCCTTCCCATGAGGCCTACAATGCTGCACGCTATGGTTCCCTTCGCGCACTGGGGTGGAGAGGCTTGAGGAGAGCCAGCCTGGCGCCCTAAAGAGGGAACCCGTGGGGGGCAAGATCCTGCAAACCGTCCAGGACAACTCGCAGGGGGCCCGACAGATTTCGAAATGGGCCAACGTTTGCTCAGAACTGCGAAGCGGGAAACAAGCAGGACGCCACAAGAAGCTGTAGGGGGCTTCTCTAAACGCCCCAAAACTCACCGAAGCTTCAAAACTCGCCCAACATCCCATCGGCTTACACAAAAAGCAAAAACAACATCAATATGGGGATTCCCGCTGAAATAATGGCCTTGATTTGGTTCCTGCATTTGGTTGTGAAGCTCTGAAAACGCACAAACGCGCAAGAACTGCCTTCCCCCTCCGCCACCGCCTCCCCCCGGCACGACGACGGGTGATGCACTGCCAAATCTTGCGTGGCAGGGCGCATGTTAATTGAAGGAGGACGCCTCACTATTCGCACGGCGTCGCGTGCACCGCCCCCTCCCTTGAGACCCCGCGAATGCATCGACGGTTCCCCGTCGCTGCCCGCAGCGCCTAACATGTTCGCAACGGTGTCCAAGACGGCCCTGCAAGGCCACGAATGCCGCGAAGACGGCCCAAGAAAGGCATGATATGGCCTCACGTAACTCCAAGAGTAACCAACTTGTCACCGACACTACTCAATCAACGAGCCTCCACGTCGAGCCAGAAAGGTTTCGCATGAACCTCCAAGAACGCCTGGCGACGCGAAGCGCTAAACGCACGAATCGTTTCCAATTCAATTTCGCCTGCGCGCCGCCTGAGGTGCCCGTTCTTGTTGGGCGGGGGGCGCCCACGAGGTCGCACGCAAAAGCAAAACGCGATGCAAAAATCAAGCAACGTTAAGGAGGCCAAGGTAGCCCGATGACAACCCAAAGAACAACGGCGGGCAGCCCATGACGAAGCCAAGACTGCGTCGAACTGAACCGCAGGGCGTCTGGAAGGAGGTTCCAACGCGACTTTCGGGAAATCCATGGCGGCCCAAAACGACCCCGCGACAAACGGGGTCCCACCGGCCCTCTGGGCTTAGGTGGTATAGCGCGTTGTTCCTTCTCCCTTCCACTGGACCCCCCCCCCCCCTCCCCTGGGCCAGGAAGGGGGGGCGCCGAGGCGTTAGAGCGTCCAAGATGGCCCAAGATTGCTCCAAGAGGGCTTCGAAGTCGCAAGATGGCCTTCAAGATGCCCCATGCTACGTCAAGATGGGTCAAGATAGCCTCCGACATACCCCCAGGAGGCCCCAAGACAGCCCCAAGACGGATCCAAATGCCCTTCGAGCCCTCGACGGCGCCCTCCAAGATGCCAAAACCGTTCGAAAACCTCAGGAAAATCAATGTGTTTGGCATTGTCGCCTTTGCGCTTCCGATGGGCTTCGGAAGCCTCAAGATGGCCTCAAGATGGCCCAAAAGAAGCCCAAGAGGGGCCCGAGAGGGCCGAATACGGCCCCAAGATCGCCCAAGAGGCGCCCAAGAGCGCCCCAAGAGGGCCCCAAGATGCCGTTTGAGAGCCTCCGGGGGGGTTGGGGGGTGGGGGGCGAATTTCCCCTCCTTTCTTCTTGAGCCATGGTGCCCAAGACGGCCCCAAGAGGCCTCCCAGACCCCCAAGGAGCCCCAAGAGGGCCCCAAGACTCCCCCAAAAGATCCTCAAGAGGGCCCCATGAAGGCCTCAAGAGGACCCCAAGAGGGCCCCAACATAGCCAAGCATCGCTCAAGATAGCCTCCGACAGACCTCCAAAAGGCCTCAAGACAACCTCAAAATGGCCCAAGATAGCCGAGCATGGCTCAAGATAGCCTCCGACAGCCTCTAGCCGAGCATGGCTCAAGATAGCCTCCAAAGAAGCCCCGAGAAAGCTGGCAATCAATTCTGGATGGGCCGGTGGGGATTTTTTTTTCACGCAGCCGCGGGCGGAAGCGCCAGCGGCGGCGAGTAACGGTCGGGCTGCGGCCGAAACTAATTGGCCGGACGCGCGCGCGGGCCGCGGCCGGCGCCGGGGCGGCGGGTGCAAGGGCGCTGCAACCCAGGGAGTCTGACGACCAGGGACCAGCACCCAGGGAGCAGTAATTACGCTGCCAAAGTGGCGCGATGCAAATACCCCCAAAGTGTCAGAGGCCATAACCAAGCAGTACGCCGCTTGAGACACTATCTGAGCAGTCGGGAGTCTGCCAACCTCGGCGCGGGAATGGCGTACCAAGAGGTCCCAGGGTGTCTGCCATGCTCAAGCAGAAGGCTGGCGGGGATGCGCGAAGCGTCAAGAATCCCCCCAGACGGCCACGCAAACCCAAAACTAATAACAAACCGGCCCACCAAAACACTCAGACAGCAAAGGAAGGCCCAAAGAGCACCCAACCGTGCCATGCATGAGCGCGCGAAAACCCTGCGACGGCCCAAACGAACAAAGAGATTGGAAACGCAATTGGGGAAAACACCACGTGTGACGAATATCGCGTTCGCCGTTTGCCTCCTCCGCTTCCTGCTCATATGTGTTTCATTCCCCACGTTTCCACTCCGGCGCCATTGCCATCAACGCGACCGTAATGCGACCGTCAGTGTCCACTCACAACTACAATAACCACGAACATCGGCGACGCCATGACATCATTCCCCCCGACCGACCTCACATCTCCATGCAAACATCATAACCCATGCGCTGTTATGACCATCATCATACGCAGTCGCATCGTCGAGGTCGCATCAAAAAAACAGCCCCCCCCCATCGAGTCCATAAGATGTTGAATGTTAAGTGTTTGACAATCACGGCGATGGGACCTGCCGCAACGACCTGAATCCATACACGGTTTCATGTTTCGCGTGGTCGGGTCGGGTTCTCTCAAGGTCCTCTTGCTCAACGGATGTGGTGCCTCTGTTCGCGCGCAAACGACACATGGGCGTCAGTTGCCTCATTCGGAGGTTCCCCGAGACCCTTAGAAAAGGATCCGAGGGGCTGCAAGTGACGAAAAGCACGGCGCCCTAGCTCTGTCTGAGCCCTCTGATAGCGACAAGTCAGGAAGCAAGTGTTCGACGCAACTTGACTAGGACCGCCCGCCCGACGCGACATGGTTAGCACCGCCCGCCCGATGCGACTTGCCGAAAGCTCCCGACGCGACTTGGTTTGAGCCGCCCGTCCGACGCAACTTGGTTAGGACCGCCCACCCGACACGCTTAAGTTAGGACCGCCCGCCCTGTGCAACTTACCGAACGCCCCCGACGCGACTTGGTTTGGACCGCCCGCCCGACGCAACTTGCTTAGAACCGCCCATCATCGCACAACGACGATAGACGACATGCAGTTTCAGCGAACCCACGTCTGGCCCCCCAGGGACGCCCATCCGGGATAACTCGGGCTCCGAAATCGCGCTCCTCGGAACGCCAAAACCGATCCGGGATAACTCGGGTTTCGCCCGTCGGTGGAAATTCCGGGTTCAAACAAGAGGAATGTATCGCACTTTTCGAAATCACGGGCGTAATCCGGGATAACTCGGGTTCGAAAACTGGCCCTGAGGCACCCCAAAAAAAACTCTCTTTCGAATTCAAACAACCAGAATGGGAACTGGTAGTGCGCGGCGCGGGAGGAGCTCAAGACAACCCCAAAACACAGACGACAACAGCCCAGCGCTCGGCAGATGCCCGCCCGGCGGCGCCGCACGGGGCTCGCCGCCGAGCTGGCGCCGTTACCGCCGTTGCGACGGCTGCCTGGCTGTCGCCCATTGGCCGCCTGACAGCGCCCGATGGTGCCCGCCGCTTGGCTGGTGAAACCGCCGACGCCGCTGCGACGGCCGCCTTGCCGTCGCACCATGTCCGCCGGACGGCGCCCGACGGCGCCCGACGCCCAACCAGCGCCGCCGCCGCCGTTGCGACGGCCGCCGTGCCGTCGCCACGTGGTCGCTCGACGGCGCCCGACGGCGACGCTGCCGCCGTCGCAGCGGCCGCTTTGCCGTCGCCACGCGTCCGCCCGACGGCGCCCGACGGCGCCCGCCGCCCAGCTAGCGCCCGCGCCGCCGTTACGACGGCCGCCGCGCCGTCGCCTGATGGCTGCCCCTCGGCGTTCGACGGCGACGCTGCCCCCGTCGCGACGGCCGCCCAACTCTCGGCCCACGCCCGCCCCACGGCGCTCGACGCTCCACTGCCGACGCTGCCGCCGTTGCGACGCCCCCCCCTAAGGCTACCCGAAGACCATCCAGAAATAACCTCAGAATTGCCGAGTGCGTCTGCGGGAAAAACTTCAGAGGCGCCCCAGACGACCCCAGATAGGCCCCACCTTAAACTCTGCGACGCCTCAGAAGGGCCCACACCAATGAATCGGAGTAAATGCTTCGGAGGTGTCCTGTTTCTCGCCTCCTCGTGCTTCTACGTTTCAGCGTTTCCCGGAAAACCTACGTGATGGCCCCGCTGCTTGCGACGGGGGCTCAACCTGCCAAAGAAAGCATCCACGACGCAACCAGGACACTCAAACACGGCCCATGGACAACCCAAGACTGACTCCAACGCTCCCCAAGTTGCCGCTCAGAGGACGTCAAGGCACCCCGGAACGACTCAACATGGCCCCAATGGGCGGCCAAACGATGGCACGCGACCGCGTAGACTACCCCTCACGCGGCCGCGAACCCCAATGAGGAACGCGAAAGTCGCCCATCGGGGGGCGGGGCAAAACGGCCCTAGGGGCACAGCGAGGGCCGAAATTCATCGCCTGGGGATGGGCACCGCCACGCAGACGCAGCAGCACGCTCAAGTCGCGCATCTACCGCAATCTCGAAAATGAGCTCAGAAGCCGAGCAAGCCGAGACAAAATGGAGATGATAATGAGGAGGAGGTGGCACCAACTTCCGCACCGCGCCCCCCGGCTGGGCCAACTTAGCGTCAAACCCTTGCCCCAAACAACGCTCAAACAGGATGGTGTACGCGGGTATACAACAGGTGCTATTTAAACGCGAAAACCCGATGGTGAAAACCCATTGGTCAACTTCATTTTCTGGTCGGAAAAAGCGATCATTCCAAAGCGCAAGAAAAACGGAAAGTTGCACTCGGCGCAGCCTGAACGCGCGGGCGCGCGCGCGTCGCGACCCGCCACGCCCGTGTATACATCTGTATACAAAGCGAGCGACGTTAACTCGAAAACCCAACGGCGCAACTTTAATGTGCGGTTGCAATCTCTGGTCGGATATGGTTGTCGTTTGACTGTAGACTATACGGACTCACGCCCAATTCACCCCGCGCGCGCGCCCCCCCCACCACCCCTTCGCCCGCCCTCCATCCTGCGTGCGCAGTTTGATACACTTGCGGAGATGCTAACTCGAAAATCGAATGGGGAAAACCAAGGGTAGCTTCAGTTTCGCATCGGGAGGAGCTGTCATCGCATAGCGGATGATACGGCTGAAAAGTTATGAAAGCAGCCCACGCCCGCGCGCGTTCCCCAGCCACCCTACCCGCCACTGAGCATACAAATGTACACAATGGGAGCGATGTAACCATGGAAACCCAATGGTGAAATCAATGGTGGAACACCATTGTGACACTTCAGCTTAAGGTGGGGAAAGATTGGCTTTTCAACGTGGCGTAAATGCGCGCAGGACACTGCGCGCGCAATGCAACCCACGCGCGATCGCCGCCCACACCAATGTAGACAACGTTTGCACAGCGGGAGCGGTGTTAACTCGAAACCACGCTGGTGAAAACCCAATGTAAAATATCAATCTCAAGTCGGGGAAGGCAGTCATCCCAACGTGAGGTATGCGAAGCTGCATAATCAATAAACCACGCGGGCGCGCGCGCGCGCGCCCCAACGCTCTTCGCAATCGTGTATATTGTTTTTTTTCTCTGCCACGGGGGCGGTGTTAACTCGAAAACCCAATGGCGAAGCCAATGTAAAATTTCATTCTCGGATCAAAAGACGCGCTGCATTCAATCTTGACTGCGAGAAAACGCGACGCTCGACGCAGCCCACGCGCGCGCGCGCTCACCCCGCACCCCTCTCCCCCTTCGTCGCCGGCCCCTTCCCCGACCCAACGCTGCCGCGTATATTTTTGCACGCGCTCTGAAAAATGTCAACTCGAAGGCCAAGTGGCGAAACGCAATTGTAAAGCGTCAGTTTCAGATCGGGGGGGCGGCCGCTTCAATGTGGGATTTACGAAACCGCGCACTCAATGCGCTCCGCGCGCGCGTGCTTGCAGTTCAATCTAACTGCGGCGTTGTAAGCTGGAAAATCAGCAGATGAAAACCACGTGCTTCTGCATCTGCACATGAAACAATGAACGTCTCCGACGCAACGTGGAATATGCGAGACTGCGCGCCCAATGCTGCCCTCGCGCCCGCGCCCGCCCGCGCCCGCCGCCGCGTTGCATGCAATGATGTACGAAGAGACCGATGTTGAATCGAAAACCCAATGTAAACATTCATTCTCGGATCAGAAGAGGCGCTCTATTCAATGCGAAGTTGCGAATGCGCTGCGCTCGACGCAGCCCGCGCGCGCGCGCCCCCGACCCGTCGCGCCCGCTTGGGCAGCGTTGCGCGGCGGAAGCGATGATACATCGAACGCCGATTGTAGTATAGACGAGCACGCATCACAATGGAGCGCGCGCGCTGCAGTCCGCCCCCGCCCCTCTGCCAGGAGGATTTTGTTAGCCGAAACACCGCGCGGCCAAAGCGACATGATTTCAGCTGTCAGATCAGACGAGGCAGCCATGCGAAGAACCATTACACAGATACGCACGCACAGGCGGGCGCGCCCACCAGGTGAGCGGGTCGCCCAGGTGGGCGGGCCACCCAGGTCGGTGGATCGCATCGGCGGGTGGGTCAGCCAGGTGGGCGGGTCACCCCAGTGCGAAGGTCACCCAAATGAGTGGGCCACCGAAGGACGTGGGTCACCCAGGTGGGTGAGTCACCCAGGTGGGTGGGTAAACGTGGTGGGTGCATCATTAATGATGAGAAGCATGCACGACGCAACGGGCACGCGCGTGCGCTGCATGGCGCGCGCGTCTTCGCGCAGTCCGCATTGAGATGGTCGCGCGCATGTTGCGCTGTGCACGCGCTTCGCATGCCCAATTTTAAAACAAACGCATCTTCTCACCGAGAAACATAAATTTTTAGTTCGGACGTGAAAAATTGGGCTCGCGACTCAACGTTGCCATCGCTACAGAACAAATACTCAATGCAGCGCGCGCGCTCGGCGCAGCGCGGCCATCCGTTCTGTTCAAACCTTGCGCAACGACGAGCCGTTGCCGAAGCGTCTGCGGCCGGGGGCTGGCAAATTAATCCACGAAGCGGCAAACCTCAACGTCAGGGTGGGTCGCGACGGGCACGCCATTGCCCCCGATCGGGGCGGGCGCGCGCGGAACGCAACGTCAACGTTGCCCTCTGCGAAGCGCGCCGCCGTCGCAGCGAGGGGGCGGGGGGGGCCCGGCAAAGTCAGAGCGGAGTTCCCCTGAACGTTGCCCGATGGGGGGCTGGGGCGCATGTCTTTCTTGCCACTTTAATTTGACATGTGAGTTTTGACGCGCGAGAGACAGCTCTCAATTAAGCGGCGGCATGGCTGCGTCGCGCATCGCGCGCGCGCAAGAACCTACGTCCATGGCGCCCGTTGGATGGCGGGCGCAAGCGGCGCGCGTTCCTGCGCGCCGCGGACGTTGCTGCGAACTGACCGCGGGCGAACTTCCCGAAGAGGGCAACTACCCGAGGCGCGAATCATCCTTCGGCGGGCAAAAACAACTCCGACTTCATTTCCAGCACGAAATCGACAACGCCAATTGGCCACGAGCTCGCGCCAGAGAGCCTCTTCCGACAGAGTTGAAACGCACGGACATTCACTGCCGTGACCTCAAAGCGAACGCAGCCCAAAAAGGAAGGGAGCGGGAGACAAATACCATTGCCCGAGAACGTGCATTCGGTACCCCTGGAACGCCGACATCCGCGCGTCCGCAAGGGGACCTCCCGGCAAAACATGAGAACGCCTGGCGCGAGAAACCCGCCCCGTGGTTTCTCGAAGCATGGAACAACTCTGGCTGCCAGAAGGCTGGCGATGTCGTCTGCAAGAACGACGCAGCCACGCATGCCGACTGCGCGCGCAGTGAATCACCAACTGCTACGTTCAAGCGAAGCTTTGGCAGGCGCGGATTGAGTTTGACATGTCAAAGACACGCATGCAAAACTGCAAGGCGGCGCCGATTCCGAATCTGAAACCGCTCGCCAACCAGAGCGCGCACAATACGCTTGCTTCCACACTTGTTCTGGGTCGCAAAATTCACAGAACCAGTCGCGCAACCCCGCAACAATCCCGACCCTTGCATAAAATGTGCGCAAACCGCATGACGCCTCATGGCCCAGCGCGCCGCGCTAGCCCACGCGCGAAACGAGCAGCAAACCTTTAACCGCATCGCGCTGAAGCAACACGTTTCTCGAGACATACCAAAACCATCGGGCCGCGCAAAACAACGCTCGGAGACTTTCGCGCAAAAGAGGCGCGACGCGAGGCATATCGACGCTTGGACGGCATCGACGGAACGGCCGCCGCCCCCAGGGCGCGAAACCCGAGTTACCCCTGACCCGAGTAAGCCCTGATGATCCGGGGCTCTGAACACATGCGCGCGGCCGCCGCGCGCGGATGCCGAAATCCTTCTCGTCGTCGTCGTCGTCGGCGCCATCGGCGTCGTCGTTGGCGTCGTCGTCGCCGTCGCCGTCGTCGTCGTCGTTCCCGTCGTCGCCCTCCCTCCTCCCTCGTCGTCGTCGTCGTCGTCGTCGTCGTCGTCGGCGACCAGAAGCTCTCGACTCACGTCTTGTTCGCCGGAGCTCTCCACCCTCTCGTCGTCGTCCGTCGTCGTCGTCCCTCCTCCCTCGTCGCCGTCGTCATCGTCGTCGTCGGCATCGTCGTCGTCGGCGTCGGCCTCGTCGTCGTCGTCATCGTCGTCGTCGTCGGCGTCGGCGCCATCATCGTCGTCGTTGTCGTCGTCGTTGGCGTCGTCGTCGTCGAAGTCGTCGGGTCGTCGTCGGTGTCCTCGTAATCGTCGTCGTCGGCGTCGTCGTCGTCGTTGTCGCTGTCGTCGTCGGCGTCGTTGCCGAGTGCGATTTGGTACCTACCGTCACAGTCTTAAGAGGTCTTGCGACCAAGTTGCGGGTGGGAGGGCGGGGTGTTTGCACGATCAGTGGAGAGGGCAGCTTCAAGACAATGAGAGTGAATTCTCCTTTCTACAAACAGAATGGGATCTCCCCCCCCGGCGTTATCGACCCCCCTTTCGGGTATGTGAACCGTTTATGATTCTGACCGCATGTCCATCCTGAATATGATATCGCAATGTCAAATGCCAACCGGGCCCCCCCCTGAGGTTTTTTTTTTTTTTTTTTTTTTTTTTTTTTTTTTTTTTTTTTTTTTTTTATATATATATATAATATATATATATATATATATAAATAATAATATAAAAACACTATGCGGTGACAATTTTTGTTCTAACATAGCACTGGTTTGCGAATCCCTTGCAAAAAACGGGACGAAAAGCGCACGCGCGCGTTGTCGCGCGCGCATGCGGGAATCCTTCAAACACCTCCGGTTCCGGAAAGATTTCGCAATCGAGCTCCCCCTCCAAAAAAAACATACAAACAACACATGATTTCGCAAACATGGTTTGCGAAAAAAGCTTCCGCGCGAGCTCTCGCGAAATCTTAAGAAAACCATTGGTTTTTCAAGATTAATGCTGTTAAGCGGGCTTCGCGCGCGCATGTCAAAGTCTGTCGAACGCCCTTGCGCGTGTGCCGTCGCGAGAATCCTCTGCAACAAATGGAACGAAGTGCAGACGCGCGCGTCGTCGCGCGCGTATGCAGAAAACCTTCAAAGCCCATCGGTTTCGGAAGGATTTCAAAATCGTGTCCAAAAAACATACAGACACCCAAGGTTTCGCAACATGGATTTTCAACAAAAGCGTGCGCGCGCGCTCTTGCGTCGTCGTCGTCGTCGTCGTCGTCGCCGTCCTCCTTCCTCCCGCGTCGTCGTCGTCGCCTACGTCGTCCTCTGTCTTTCCTCGTGTTCGTCGTCGTCGTCCTCTTTTCGTCGTTGTCGCCGCGGTCGTCCTTCCTCCTCCTCCCTCGTCGTCGTCGTCGTCCGTCGTCGGCGTCTCGTCGTCGTCCCTCCTATTTCGTCGCCGTCGTCGTCGTCGTCGCCGTCGTCGTCGTCGCCCCTCCTCCCGCGTCGTTTTCGTCGTCTGCGTCGCCGTCATTCCTCCTTCTTCGTCGTTCGCGTCGTCGCCGTCCTCCCTCCTCCCTCGTCGTTGTTGTCGTTGTCGTCGTTGTCGCCGTCGTCGTCCTTCCTCCTTTCTCGTCGTCGTCTTCGTTGGCGTCGTCGTCGTCTTCGTCGTCGTCGGCGTCGGCGTCGTCGTTGTCTTCGTCGTCGTCGTCGTCGTCGTCGGCGTCGTCGTCGTCGGCGTCGGCATCGTCGTCGTCGTTGGCGTCGTCGTCGTCTTCGTCGTCGGCGGCGTCGGCGTCGTCGTTGTCTTCGTCGTCGTCGTCGTCGCCGCCGTCGTCGTCGTCGTCGCCGGCGTTGTTGACGTCGTCGTCGTCGTCGGTGTCTTCGTTGTCGTCGTCGTCGGCGTCGTCATCGTCGTCGTCGTCGTTGTCATCGTCGTCGTCGTCGTCGGTGTCGGCGTCGTCGTCGTCGGCGTCGTTGTCGGCGTCGTCGAAGTCGTTGGAGACGTCGTCGGTGTCGTCGTAGTCGCTGTCGGCGGCGTCGTCGTCGTTGTCGCTGTCGTCGTCGGCGTCGCTGTCGCTGCCAAGTGCCATTTGGTACCCACCGTCACGGTCTTAAGAGATTTTGCAAACCATGTTGCGGGTGGGTGGGTGGGATGCTTGCGCGAGCAGTGGAGTGGACAACTCACTGCGGACAGAAATTAATTGCACCACATGAGTTGCACCACGTAGCCTAAATCACATAGGTTGTACCACATAGACTGAAATAGTATACTGTTTGGGGTTCACGCTGGCTAACATATAGTTTTTTTCATCAGTGGCAAAACATTGCACGAAATTCACTTCGAAATCCGGAACGAAATTCTCCGGGACAATCCTAGCCCATCCCATTGTTTTCCTACGGAAGCCGCTCTGCGATGTTGGCGCCATGAAAAGGGGGAGGAGGAGGAAGAGGATTACGCTGTAAGGATTACGCAGTGTGGCCGTCCACGCGGCACAGCTCGCAGCTCGGCATCGCAGCACCAAGGGGAAAGTCGAAACCAACACCAAGACCCTGGTGCCGAGAGAGCCGTCTTCAGATTCATCCAGCGTGCCCCGGAAACGCTCTGCTGGAGCACGCTAGCGCGAAAGGAATTCTCAAGCGAATCTCGCGCCAAATCTAGCGGGCGCGGATCGTCCTCGTCCGCGCCGCCGAACAGCCACTCTGCTGCCTCGCCCTCTGGGTCGAGGGGCCTTGCCACAGGCTGGGAGGAATCGCCAGGAATCACCGTGGGAGCACCGTCCTGAGCTCCCGACGAAGCCACAGCCGATGGGGCAGGTCCTCGGGCCCCAGGGCCCCCCCCCCCGCCACAGTCGCTTTGGCTACCTCTTCAGCACAAGCGCGCATGCAACGCCTCGAGGACCGATCTAGGAGGGCCCTCGCGGCGCGGGTACTGGTCTCGCCTGATGCGGGCTAAATGATCGGCTCCTTTTTCCGTGATCTCCCAAGGCATCTGGCCTCGAGATGTCTGAAATCTTCCGTCGCATACCTACCGCATTCGTGGCAGAACACCATGCAATACTTGGGCCACTCCCCACGTCTGCGTGCGCTGTGCAGCACCCCCCACCCCGCCCAGGCCCGTCAAAACACCCTCGCCCACAACCCTGGGGGCCCCGTTCAGGACGGGGGGGGGGGGGGGGCGGGACAGGCGGGGCTGGCGGAGGTGCGCGCGCAGCGCTGCAGAACTCCAGCAGGCTCGAAGCATGCATTCGCCGTTTGCACACCTCGCATCTCCATTTAGCGCCGTCCTGGGCCATCTGGTGGCCCGCTTCGCGGAGAGCTATCTCCACGCCGCTCTCGCGGGCCCCGCGAGGCGCGATATCTTCGCGCTCGGCCCGGGTCGCGTCGCAGTCCAGGGCAAGTTGTAAGGCCTTGGGCGCTCGACGTCTGACAAGAGCGGCAACAGCGCCCCAACTGTCAGCGTGGGGAGCAGCATGCTTGACGAATCCCTCCCAAGCCCGCTCCGCCGCCCCCCCGCCCCATGGTCGGCCGTGGCATTGCCCGCAGCAAGGAAGAGGTCCCTGTCTGTGACCAGACGGCCCGCGTCCTCCTCTTCAGCGTGAGAGGGGGCCATTCCAGAGAGACCTCGCGGCCTTCGGCCGCCGCGCGAATTCTCGCCCAGAGATCCTCGTTGGGCCCCCTGGTGGCCTTGCGGGGCCAAGCTTTTAAAAGGCCCTGATGGTCCGTCACGAAGCGCACCGACCCCGTAGTCTGCTCAAGGGCCATCGCCAGGGCCAGCGTCTCCGATCGGGGCACAGACTGTCGGCAGCCAGGGAGCGGCGCGGCCATCATCGCCCCCAGGCACCAGCTATCTTCGCGCCAGGCCAGGGCAGCGACAGCAGCTCCACACCTACGGCGACGCTGATCGTCCGAGTGCTTCCCTCCCGACCCGCCCCCCAAACAGCGTCAAAACCCCGCCCCTCCGATAGTCGCCCAGCTCACCTGCCCAGCTCACCTACCCACATAGTCGCCCAGCTCACCTACCAGCTCACCTACAGGAGCCAATCGCTCTTCATCGAACCTGGGGGTGGTGAGGTGGTTCGGCACTTGGCCTCGCAGCCAGACCGAGGGCTCACTGTCTACACTGGCCAGCGCCCTCGCCACCAGGTGCTCCGACTTGGCGAACTCACTGCCCTCGATGATGTCCTCCGTGCACTTCCAGATCCTGTGGGTCAGCGTCTCTGGCTCCAGCCCGCATCTCGGGCAGGTGGCGCTGACGGCATAGCCGCGCCCTTGCTTCCTGGCGCGGCTCCACTGCCCGCCACTTATCACTGCCATCGTGCGACTCCACACCGCCCACATGCCTCTTCGAGCATATCAGTCGAGCTCGCGCCTCGCATGCAGCATGTCCGCGCCGCTCCCCAAGTTGCCGCCGTCCTCGTGGGCCGCCACCTGCTTCCACAGCTGGCGCATGATGTCCTCGCGGAGGTCGCGCAGGATGGGCTGCCGATCGATGAAGCTCCCAAAGGCCTCCGAGCTCGACTCCACCAGGTGCCACTCCGTGATCGCGCCGTCCACCTCTGGCCTGCCCCACGCGCCAGCAGTGCGTGGATCCCAGCCCAGATCCATGAGCGTTGCCACGAGCGCGCCGACAGGGCCACGCACGCGCCGCCAGCGCCGGGCTGCGCCGGCGCTCAGGAGCGCGCCGCGGATGGCAGGCCAGACTCCATGGGTCGTCGCATGGACCTCAGGCGCCGTCTCCCAGAGCTCCAGCCCCGAGTCTACCAACTGGATGCGCAGCTTGATGGCTGGGTCCTCCTCCAGCCCCGCCGCCAAGACCGTGGTGAGGCAGCGTCCGCCAGCTTTGCCTCCAACTGCCGCGCCCGCCTGCTGCCTCAGCTTCCTGGCGCTCGACGGCGCCAGGCCCTGGAGCCGGTGGCCGTAGGTGGCCTGTGGAGAAGCCCCCGTGCTCCACAGCCCCTTCGCCTCCTTGGCGAGATCCGCGCTCCTCCTCATTCTCGTGATGCGGCTAGCGCGCCTGCTGGCCGCCAGCAGCCTCTTGCGCTGCTTCTTGCAGCAGCGCCTCCACCCAGCTGCCGCGTCGCCGCCCAGGTCCGTGGCGTCCGGCGCCAACTGCAGCGGCAGAGCAGGCGACTCCAGTTCCGCCTGTAGCTCTCGGCCCAGCTGCGTGTCCGACGCCGGCAGCTTGGTCTTGTTCGAGATGATCAGGCCTCGCTCCTCGACGAAGCCCTCCACGAACTGGGTCGCCACCTGCTTCATCTCCTGCTTCACCATCTGACGAGGTCCCTCGCGCCGGGCCGTCGCGTCGTCCGCGAATGTCCAGAGGGGCGCCTGCGGGGCCACCCGGTGGGCCTTTGCCCGCACCCCGTGGTTGAACACCTCGGCCAGGGATGCCCCCCTCGCCGACCCCGCCACCACCGAGCGCGTCGGCCAGACCAGCTCGCTGATGCCGTGGCGCTGGTCCTTCAGGATGCGAGGGCCCAAGAAGAGCTCCACCTCCATGGCCGCGACAATGGCAGGGTACTCCGCCTGCGCCGCCAGCTCCATGAGCAGCGCCAAGCTGATCGTGTCGTAGAAGGTCTAGAGGTCGAGGAGGAGAGTGGCCGACGCCAGCTGCATCTCCCTGCCCACCTCGTCGAGCAGGGCACGGTGCAGCGCAGCCCTGAGCGCAGAGCACCCTCGCAGGGCGCCGCCCCAGAATGCCCCGAGCTGGTCTGTCCAGTTGTCCACGATACCGCCTCGAGCTTTGCTCCATATCTTGGGCATCAGGGCAATCATGCCCAGCACCCTGTCGCCCCCAGCAGGCTTCGGAACCGATGCCGCCACCGCCGCCATGAACTGGCGAGGCCAGACGCCCTGGGCCTCTGCATCGTTCATCAGCTGCCTCAGCTCCACGCGCCTCCTCGCGCGCTTCGCGCGGAAGCCTCTGCACCTCCGTCGAGCTCAGCACGTCCACGCCCATCGCCTTCCTGCCGTTTATGGAGTTCAGCGCCCTGTCGAACTCCTCCTGCTCCACTGGCGGGTAGTCCTCCTCCTTCGCTACCTCCAGGGTCCTTAGCAGCTGCCCCTGGATGCCCTCCAAGCTCACCTTCGGGTCTTGCCACGACCCTCTCCATTTGGACGCCCGGTCATTCATGATCCCCGCAGGGTCCGCCGTGGTGGAGGTGCCCGCGCAGATCTCGTCGATGATGGTCGGCTCGTCTTTCACGCGCTTGTGCAGCACCCCCATCTTGTCGCCCCACATCTCCTTCACCCACTTGGTGTAGGCTCTTCGTGCTTCCCCCATCGCGCGCGCCTGCCCTGCCGCCGCCGGCGCGCCCGTCAGCTCGAGCAACTTCTGTCGGTGCGCCGCCGAGAGGGTCTCGACCTTGACCATCATCTTCTGCCAGACCATGAAGCGCGCGCTGCCGAAAAAGTCTGCCATGCCCTGGTCCAGCGCCTCCTTGGCGATCCTCTTGAGCTTGCAGCTCACCCGGCCCCGCTGAGCCTCATCGCGCCTGCCGCGCGCGAGCGTCTGGTACATCTGCGCCAGCGTGAGCGCGTAGCACATGGCGTCAGACTTGCGGCACTTCATGTGTGCCCTGCCTGGCGCGACCTTCGCTTTCACCCACTTCAGGTCGAAGCCCCTCCCGCGCCCCAGGTCGCGCGCCTTCCCCGACTCCTCCACCTCGTGGACGGCCAGCAGTGCGAGCTCCAGCTTGCTCACCCAGTTGCCGTACCTATGCGAGAGGTCCTTCTCCAGCTCCTCGCGGCCCTGGTAGGCGACGCGGTCGTCCAGCTGCTGCGCCGGGCCCGCGCGCGCGCCCGCAGCGGGCCCTCGCCCAGCGTGCTCCGGAAACGCCCTGCCGGAGCACGTTGCCGTCTCGTCTGTTCTGGCCGTCGCTTGGTGGACTGGGTGGGCTGGTTGGGTTTGCTGGTGACATGGAAATCCCGTCTGCGCCAGCTGCTCTTCCGCCTGCCTCCAGCACTCCAGTGGCGCCTGGAAGGGCGCCTCGGGCTCCTGGCAGACCTCGCCCTCCTCGTGCAGCTTCGCGAAGGCCTCCTGCTCCTCCGGGGGGGGGGTCTCGATTTCCTCTCCTGCAGCTTCTTCTGCTTCATCTTGCTCGTCTTGCTGTCGGGGTCCGCGCTCTTCCTCGGCCTCTGCGTCCGCGGCAGCGCCCTGGGCGCCGCGAGCGCCCTCGCCCACCATTCTTGGTAGGAGCCCTCGAGTGTGATGAGCAGCGCGCAGCGCACCTTCTAGGGCACCTCCAGCTCCGCCTCTACCATCACCGGGTCCGCAAAGTCCTTGCGCACCAAGCAGTAGTCCAGCAGAGACCCCTGCCCCCCTCAGGCGCACGTTGCCTTCGCCCCCTGCGGCGTCTTCACCACCCCGCCGACTTTCTGCGGGAACTCGCTCTTCAGCAGCTGCTCTGGGTCCAGGTTCCAGTCCGCCGCCACGATCCACGGGTCGCCCGCGGCCTTCAGGAAGGCCGCCAGGCTCGCCAACTTCTGGGGGTTCGGGGGCCCCTTCCCCCACTGGGACGCCATGTGCGCGGTCGCGTAGACCAGGTTGCCCGCCTTCGCGTGGCTGGTGGTCGCCACGAACCCGCGGAAGGGATCGTCTCTGCCTCGCTGCTGCGCTGCCACTCGCACATGACCAAACGAGGTCGTCCACCACAGCACCCCGCCCCACTCAGCCCAGACGGCCGCGCTGCCGTGGCCGCGGTCTTCCAGCCGTCCCGATCGAGGTCAACAGTGACCTTCTTCTGCTTGTCGGGCAAGAGGTGGGTCTCGCAGATGCCCATCACACTTACCCGTGGGTGTCGTTCCTGATGCTCGTTCACGTACTTGTGGGCCCGTGGGCCCCACTTCCCCACATTCGCAAAGAAGAGCTGGCGATCGCCAGCCGTGCCTGACGCTGGCCTCGCGCCAGGACGTAGATCGTCAAAGGTGCGACGGTCTATCCTGGCTGGCAGCTGCTCCAGCAGCAGGAGCGCCAGCTGCTATTGCCTGCGCCTGCACTCGCCCCAGCAGCAGGAGCGCCAGCAGGAGCCGCAGCAGCCCCCGCAGTGCCTGGCTTGCCCTTGCCGCCCCCCTTGGCGACAGCGACGGCGGGCTCAGCCTTGACCTTCGCCTGGTAGTCCAGCAGCACCTGCTTCCTCCTCGGGGCTGCCTCGGCGTCTGGGGCAGCCGCTGGTTCCGCGGCCGCTGCTCCTGGCTCCGCCGCTGGCTGCTCACTGGGCTCCTTCTTGGCGGCTTCGCCTGAGGCCGCCTGGCCGTCCTCCGTCCTGCGCTTCTTCCGGAGCTGCTTGCGCAGGCTGGGGAGCTGCTCGACATGCTGCACCAGGAGCTGCTGGTGCTGCTCCGCCTGGTCGCGCAGCTGCTTCGCCTCCTCCGCGTGCTTATGGCGAACCTCTGCCTGCTGCCGAGCGAGCGCCGCCTCTGCCTCCTCGATCTTCTGCAAGGACGTCTTCCCCGCCTGCTGGATGTCCGCCAACTTGGTGCGGAAGGCCAGCACCGCCTCCTTCTCTGGGCCGTCCTCGTAGTCGTCCAGGCTGGCGCCCAGGAGCCGGTCATCCACTGAGAAGTCCAGGATCGTCTGCACTTCAGCCTGCGCAGGCTCCTCCCAGTCAGCCTTGACGAGCTCTCCCTTGCCCGCCTGCTTGTAGTAGGCCGCCGAGGCCTTCGCGCGGGCCTGATCAGCATCGAAGGCGTCCTCCAAGGCCTGGCCGCGGCGGAGGAGCGCCTCATCGTGGAGGATGGACAAGCGCTCGGGCTCGCCCTCGCACTCCAGCAGCCACTTCTGCGCCTTCTGATGCTGTCCCTTGGCCTTCATGAGCGCCTGCCATGCATCAGGTGGCCTCGGCTGAGGCGGCGGCGGCGCATGCTTGCGCTGGAGCTCATCGATATCCTTGGCCAGCTGTTTGTTCCCCCCTGCGAGGAAATCCAGCGCCGCCGCCTTGCCATCGTTTTCTCCTGGCTTTGGCCCCCACCACGCCGCCGCAGAGTTTCCAGCGCGCTGCTGCCCGTAGCGGTTGCTGCGCCAGGGCGGCTTGCCTTGGAACCGTTCCAGCCACGCGCCGCACTTGCACTGCCCTCCTTGCTTGTCCAGCCGCCAGTTGTACACCGATTGGCCACACTCCTTGCAGACTGTGAAAGGTTTACTCTTGGGCATTCTCAAGCTGAGCCCCAACGCTGTGTCACTGGCCTGTCCAGTCGCGTCGCGTCTCTCAGCACGCTCAGGATCCCAAACGGCTTGAGCCAGGAGGAGGAGGACGACGAGGAGGAGGAGGACGACGAGGAGGGGAAAGGGGGAAGGAGGAACGTACGCGACATCC